TGTGTGTGTGTGTGTGTGTACACAAAATAATGCAAGCAAGTGTCATGTATTCCCCTGCACTTCTCTTGCAGAGACAGAAGATGCAGAAAAGGAATCAGCCCACTGACAGACCTTAATCTTTGATTACTGCTGTGGCTAGAGTTTGAGGATTGCTTTTTAAAAAAGACAGCAGACTTTTTTTTTTTATTTAAGAAAAAGATATATTAACAGTTTTAGAAGTCAGAGTCAGTAGAATAAAATCTTAAAGCACTCTTATAATATGGCATCTTTCAATTTCTGTATAAAAGCAGATCTTTTTTTAAAAAAAAAATATTTCTGTAACTTAAGAAACCCGACATTTAAAATCATATTTTCTCTTTAGGTAAGGTTTGGTTTGTGTTTGTGTTGTTTGTTCCGCTTGTTGTTTCCCTCCAAACCTTTTGTTCTCTCTGTGAAACTTACCTTTCCTTCCTTTTTTTTTTTTTGTATATTATTGTTTACAATAAATATACATTGCATTAAAAAGAAAATGGACCTATGGATTTATTTATCTGCTTCTGTAGTTAAAAGGGTGATTGGAGGAATTGAAGCACTAATAAGATTATAAAATGCCCACCACTGGTGTTTTTGCTTTCCCAAGCTTCCACAGTCCTGACAGTCACTGAGGAAGAGACTATGCACCCCCCAGACTCTAAGGACACGCATCACAGAAAGTGCCACCCTAATGGGTGACACAGAGAAAGACATGTCAGGAGTTGCCCACTCTGGCAAAATGCTTGTGGTTTTAACCTTGTGCTTTACAGGGAAAGCTGTTCCCTGGTGGAGGTCAGAGGGAATCCGAATATTAGACCAGAAATCAGCAGCTTGTCCGGAGACACAATGCCAGAGGGGGTGACTTCCCTCGTCTGAACACCATATGGCAAACTTTATCTTGTTACTGTGAACACACACCACAGAAGTGGGGTGCCCAAAAGTGGGTCTGCAGGGGACCAGAGGGAAGCCTGTCGTGTTAACCCATCAAATGATTCAGGTCTTTCCGGATTTCTCTGCAGAGACAATGGGAGGAGATGACCTTATTTTTCTGTTCCCTTCAGTTTAACTCATTCTGAGCAGATGCAAAGCCATCCTAGAAGAAATAGAACCTAATCCTGTTTTCCTTGGCCCCAATCTGATGGGGAGTTTCCAGGTTCAGAGAAACCTTCAGGTCATTTTTCATTAAACAGATGAAATCACTCCTTCCCTCCCCTCTCCTCTCGGCCCCCCTCCCCCAGCTAATGGGGGAGGTGTGTCTAAGAAGGTGAGTTGCCTGCACCACCTGGGGCTGGTTTTACCACTGGGCCTGTCTCTGACAGTCTTCAGCAGCACCAGGCCCTCTGCTTCTGCTGTTTGGATCCCTGGCCTGCATCCCAAGGCAGGATCATGGCAACCAGGAAAATGGTAGTTATCAAATCGGGACAACATTAGGACTCGGCCCCCCTTTGCAAATTCCTTCAACAAACACTGATTGAGGGCCTGTGATCTGCGGGGGACTATGCAAATCCCTCCCTACCCCGGCAGACATCAGATTCTGCTCCTAGTTTGTGCCAGAGCTTCTATTCGCTTACACCCACAGTTTCTCTCTCTCTCTCTCTCTCTCTCACACACACACACACACACACACATTCCTATTAAAAAGACTCCGTGGTGTTCACTACTGTCCCACCATGACCGCCCCCTTCCCTACCAAATCTGTACTGTTTGCTGGACTGTTCTTTCTTTTTCTACAATAGAGGCCCAAGGTGGGCCTTCTTAGAGCCAACTGCTCTATGCAGACGTAAACTTGTTAGGTGATCTAAGGCAAGTGGCTTGACTTGCCTGTGCCTCAGTTTGCCTTTTGCCAAGAATGTTTACAATCACTCTTCCATGTAATAGGGTTGTTATTGGTGTGATCTGGGGCTAGGAATAGTCTAGGAATCCACAGCATCCGACTCTCTTGATCTGCACAGCAATCCTTTTGTATTATAATTCAGTGAGTGACACTCAGGAAAAAGGGTTGTCACAAGGTCCCCAAGTGGCTCTGATACACAATAAAATTCAGGAGACCCTGGAGTGCAGGGAGAGAATTCTTCAGAACGTCAGTTACTCCTCTCCACCAAATACAGGCAAAGCCTCATATTACCAGATTATAAAATAGAGGGAATTTTCGCTCTAAATCCAGAAACACAGAGCTTATCACTCTAGCAACAATAACACCCTGGTTGTCAAGCTAAAAAAGAGTCCTCCACAACAGAAAAGGCTTGAATTTAGACCCAAGGTTATTTGTTTATTGCACTCAAAAAAAAAAAAAAACTTTTCTTTTTGAACTATTCTAACAAAAAGGGAATTTTTATAAACAAGGGAATAAAAACAAACTCCTTTGAAATCATCTTTTCATTCATTATTAAAACAGAACTATGTGGGCTAGTTTGAGCTGGGTGTTTGACTTTTCCACTTTGATTCCATCTTGTCCCTTATGGTCCCCTGATTTCCAAAATGAGCATTTTGGAGGCACCACTGTGACACTTTTTTATGTTAACTTGATTGATGAACTAACACTATAGCCAGAGTCAGATTTACTATAAAGCCTAAGCTTCAGAACCCCTTCAGGCTCTGTCTTTCACCTCTTATTTTTTTTTTAAATTTACATTCTTTTTCTTAAAGAATCCCTCCTTAAAAAAAAAAAAAAAAAAGACAATTGAAACTTCAAGCCCCACAAAACTGGGTCTATCTTGACCTTAGCTGGTGGCCAGCAAAACATGGCAGCAGAGGTGGCAAACAAGATCCTTTCTATTTGTTCTCAACAGCACCTGACACATTGTAGATTCTTAATTAATATCCACCTTGCCCCCTGTTTGTGAGTCTGATGGCACTGCCCCAGCACCCCTTGTTGAGACTCTCCACCATAACACTCGATCACTCGTCCTCACACAAGTGTATCACTGAGACTGAAATGGTCCTAACTCCGTCAGTGGTATTACCGAGGGGTTAAATAAGGTAAAGCACACAAGAAACATGAGTGACCTGCCCCCACATCCTCATATCACCTCTCTCTCTCTCTCATCATTTCTTCTTCTCTTTTCTCCTGTCACCTCTCTTCAACATGTTCATAGGATCCCCTGCTGGGCCCAGACTGGGCTGTTCCTCTTGGGTCCTTCACAAATTAGAACTACTTTACTTTAGATTTCTGGAAAATATTTCTTTTTAGAACTAACAAAACATGGGCAGACAATCTCGGATTTGCATTCAATGGAAAAAAACAGGTCTAAATTTGGGCTGATGCACGTATTACCGAGACGTGATCTCTTAAACTTTAAGGATTTTATATTAAACTTAATCCAGGAACCATTAATCCGGGTCGCATATTCCACTTTAAGACAATTCCTACTCTTCTCATTCTTTCCATAAACATTTGTTGATCCCCTTTTGTGGTTCAGAATACATCAGTGAGCGAGAAAGACTGCCCACGGGGGTCTGATTTCTTTGTGGAGAAGGCAGATAAAATCAAATAGTACTTGCTGGTATTTTCTTATTCACATGCTAGGAATGAAACTGATCAGGGCCAGGTGGAAGGTGAGGCACAAGGACTGGGTAGCTCATCAATTGGTGAAGGACTTTGGGGGAAACTTCCTGACCTCTTGTTTTCTTCTCTTGGTCTTCACTGATTTGACATGGAATTTACTCTGGTCTAACTTGCAGCTACCCCATTCCCACCTTCCCCCTGCGGTAGCCCTGTATTAGTCTCTCTACCTCATCATGAACTGTGGGTTCACATATGCCACACTCTTCATATCCCTAAAGACTCCCTAAAGAAGACCCAGTGCTTGGTGTCCAAAAGGCTCCCTTGGATCTCTGGAGAATTGGTGGATGTGGCCTGCAGGTATATGGAGTCAGAAACTGGGAAATACAATGAGAAGTCTTTTGGTGTGGTTGCACTCTTGCTACAAAAATCCTTTATGGCATGTCCTTGCGGTTGAATGTTCCTCCATCTCTTCTAGAACACTTGCATTGCCTGGGAGCTCAGTGTTCCTGCTAGCACAGATTACTCCTGGGAAAATCTTATCTTCACCGTGTCCACCCAGTGATTTAAGGGCCACCTCTAAGCCTGTATGGTATGAGTCTTATCTTTCTACCAAATTGATAGCCCTTCACCTAATTGTGCAGTTTGCAAGTTTTTCTTTGGTGTTTTTCCCCAAGCTAGACATTTCCAATACATTTTACATATGTGTGATTCCTATCCCCTTCCTATCTTGTTATTCTTCGACTTTATTGCATGCTCCCTCTGGTATTCTCAAATGAGCACGCCCTGAATTACTTGAAGAACTGCAAATACAGTTTGAATAATAAAGAATACAAGTAGATTCATCATTTTTGTCACCAGAAATTGTGCTTTTATTTATTTAAATTAAAATCATATTAGCTCTTATAACAGCCAAATCACCCAGTTATGTTATGGTGAACAATTTCTCATATCCTGTAATTGTGCGATTGATTTTTTTTAACCAATTACCAAGTTTTATATTTACCCGTTTTTCCTGAAGTATGACATACACAGGTTCAGTGAAAAGAGAAGGAGGAAAGGGAGTTACATCATTGAGCCCTTACTTTGCCAGGCACTGTGACAGATGTTTTATATACATGATCTCATTTAATCCATTTAATAACCCTTAGAGACAGGTGTTATTATTCCAATTTTATTAAAGAAGGAAACTGAG